GAATTTAATCATCAGACCAATGTTTCCATTTTCTCTTCTTCAAATGACTGTTCTCCCACTTTATATATTCAAAACCATTTTTCTTTATTTTATGCCACTTCATGTCATATCAGTTTTTGGGATTTATGAATGTAAAAGAGTGCAAGATAAAATGGTTCAGCTGAACAATTATGATGCCTTCACAGTAGGAACAATGATAAATGTTTGTTTCTAGAAAAATACCACTATTCCATTGACCACAGTTAGAGGATGCCTTTAGACCTCATGTTTCTGATACTCCAGACTTTGTCCTACAGGATCAGGTATTTACCTTCAACTGGTGACTTCTCCTTTTCTCTCAATCTTTCACTCCATAGTGAACAATAGCCTGGTTTGATCAATCAGCCAATTATGATTAATGTAAGTCCTCCAGACCAGAACAGATTCTCACTTCCAATTCTGGTAGGGAGAGTTTGCTCAAATCACACACACACACACACAAGCACTGTCTTCAAATAAAAGATTCATACTTTTTCATAGAACAAATACAACATTATTACCAGTAACCTACATGTTGAAACTGAACTTGAAGTTTTTGACTCTGTTCTGTCAATTCCAAAAATTCCCTCATGGTTTCATCTTTTTCTTTCCGTGCTTGCTGCAGATTTGCAGTGAGCTGCGTGATGATGTCGTCTCTTTTTTTGATAGCAGCCTCAAATTCTTGAAGCTTAAAGAGGATATATTAAATAATAATAATAATAATAATAATAATAATAATAATAATAATAATAAATTTTATTTATAGCCCGCCCCTCTGCGGAGCAATCGGGGCGGGTTACATCAATTAAAATACAGGAAATACAGAGGTTAAAACAATATTAACACTGTGCATAGCAAACATCAGCTATGATTATTCTAGTGAGATGATAAGAATTCATACTGATTCCAACGTTTCCTGTAACATTTAAAGCCTACACACAAGGCTTTTCAAATACAAAAGCATAACAGTAATATCACCACCACCCCGATCTTGTTTTCCAAATGAATGCTTAAAATGCTGGAGCAAGTTGAGTCTCCCTTATCCAGAATTCCAAAATTCTAAATATTCCAAAATCCAAAATTGTCCACATGGATGGCTGAGATAGTGATACCTTTTGCTTTCTGGTGGTTCAATGTACACAATCTTTGATGCACAAATTATTAAAAATATTATGTATAAAATTACCTTCAGGCTATGTGTATAAGGTGTATATGAAACATAAATTAATTTCATGTTAGGCTTGGATCCCATCCTGAAGATCTCTCATTATTATATGTAAATATTCCAAAATCCAAAAAACAAAACAACCCCCCCCCAAACCTCCAAAATCAAAAACACTTCTGGTCTCAAACATTTCAGATAAGGGAGACTCAACCTGTATTAATAATTGTCTGATTTGATACCAGTACATGATGGCTTTTTAAAAGTTCTATTCTTAGTGGCTTAGGAAATCTTTTCACAGCTGAAACATTTTCTTAGATTTTGTGATCAAAACATGTTAGAAACATCTGTTTGTTTCCTTTTAAGCACTGGAATCATCCTTTCTTTCTGCATCAACAGCAGACCAGTATTTGATAGAATTAAGAAAATAATCAGCTTTAAATACTATCTTGAAAGGGTGTAAAATTAAAGTTAACAAAAGGAACTAAGAAAAACCAGGCCATGTAGTTCAGAGGCAATACCTGAAATATTATGCTGGAAATATGGAAATAAGGAAAATAATATTAAATAAGAAATGAAATTCATTAAAATCTATATTACAAAAAATTCCAGATATTTTAAAATTATAAATAAATATTATACAAATAAAAAAAATATTATGCAAACTGCAATCTGAAATTTAAAAAGTTGCACCTTATAACAATTCTGCATGAAAATAAAAGGCTAAGTGGTATTATTTTATTCATAAAGTACATTCCTGTCTCTTTGAAAAGACCATTTTATGATTCTTTTAAAAAGCTTCTAGTCACATACAGTCTCTGAGCTTATTAGGTATCATAGCAAACGATGTTTTCAATACTGTCCTTACACTGTAGCTTTTTTATTTTGGTATACAATATTACTTTATCTAAACTACACTGCAGTTAGGTTTTTCTAAATACTGAAAGCTAAACACAAGCAGAAAATACCTAAAAGAATATACAGAACAGAAGACAAACATCTGAAAGACCAGACATGACAGAAGATGGACATAAGGAAAGTAAGTATTGTAACTATTTATTCAGCATTTATATACCATGCAACGCAAAACCCTAGTAAATGTTTACTACTGTAACTACTGGACCAACCCAAAGAAATTAAACTAGAGGCTGGAACATTAAAAGAGCCTTGGTGGCGCAATGGTTAAATGCCTGTACTGCAGCCACTCACAAACCATAAGGTTGTGAGTTCAATATTAACCAGGGGCTCAGGATCGACTCAGGTTTGCATCCTTCCGAGGTCGCTAAAATGAGTACCCAGCTTGTTGAGGGCAATTAGTTTACACATTGTAAACCGCTTAGGGAGTGCTTAAGTGCACTGATAAGCAGTATAGAAATGTACTTGCTATTGCTATTAAAACAACACTTTTTCAAAATCTAGATAAAGCTTTCTCAATGAAAAGAGAGCATGTTACAAGCATTCCCCAATTTGCTTTCCACCAAATGTGCTGGACTACAAACTCTGTAAGTCTAACACATCAGGACATCATCAGCTTGGGAAAGCCTGAGCTATAATGATAATATTATAGTTAGATCTCAACAAAACATAACTTGTTCAAGCTTGTAGGATTTGTAAGTGGTATCTATTACTAATAACCAACACAGTGACACAGTGCATTTTGAAAATCTGCTTTTCCCCTATTTACTAGAAATGACTTTGCTTTAGAGCATTAGACATTTTTTCTGTCTGTAAATCTGTTTTTTCAGAGATTTCCTAAAGGACATGGTTATGGAACCAAACGAAAAGTATGCAATAGCTTTTGTAAACTTTTATCCATCAGAATAATCCAAATTTAGAGGAAGAATATATAGCACAAAGTGTAAGTGCTTCAATTCATGTAATAAGCAACTGTAGCTGGTTATTATTATTATTACCTATTCAAATAACTGACACTTTGGCCCCCTCTCTGGTAAAGCTGTCATCCACAGAACACATTATATATAATTATTAAATCACAGAGAGAATTTGAAAATAAACAAACATTTTTATTAGAATGTGTTGAGGTCCATCACCCTATATTTTTTTGGTTTCCAAATTATTTATTTATGCATATATTTATTTATTTATTTAATCTATAATCCTGTGTTTTTCCCAACATGGGATTCAAGGAGAACAATTTATTCTATCTTACTTTTGGCTGCTAATTCACTGGCCCAAATTTCTTGCACATAAGCAAAAACTACCATCTAGTATGCATGTATCCAGTGTCTTTCAATTCCGTAAAAGTGCATCAACTTGAAAACTCAATTAAGATGGTTGCTGAACTAAAAGCTTAAGAAATGCAGGAAAGCAGGGACCTTTTCTGACAGACTGATTGGGCAAACTGGTCACCCATCCTGACCCATGCCACCTTCACCTGTGAGAGGGATAAGTGAGAAACTAATGCTTACTAAAAGCACATTGCTGTTGCCTTCTTGGTGTACATGGGATTCCCATCACACAGACAAAATTTAATACTATTTTGCAGACATAATTCTGGCATTCTTCTTGCTTAAGAATAGGAATAATACTTTCATTCTTTTAGTATCCCTCCTGGGATAATAAACTGCTTCTTATGTGATAATGGGAAATAGGTGCTAACATTTCATTGTCCATTAACTGAATGGAAAATTGACTTTACTCTTTAAAAAAATACTGGCATCTTCAATGGAAGACAAGTGCTACTTTTGCTGTAATTCACAGAACCAAAAACAACATACCTAAGTATTAAAATACTAGAGAAACAGGATGCTTTTTGTAAAATAAAATGATGATGACAAAGGTAATTTAAATGAAAAACATTTTCTTATAATTTCTGTGTCTTAATCATGCCAAGCAATAATGAAGGACTGTATGTGCGACTACAAAGCATGCAGAAAGCAACATAAGGTAATTATACCTGTTGCAATCCTTCTGTACCATATGCTGCCCTCAATTCTTCTAGCTCTTTGTTTAGTTCTTCGATCTCTTGTTGTTTTCCAGCCAATTCATTTTCCATGATCTCCAGTTGTGTCAAAGAATGTTGTATCCCATGCTCAGAATAATTCTCTCCAAATCCAAATTCTTCTTCCTAAACCAATCCAATTTTCTTAGCAGCCCAGCATTTGTATAAGGGTTGTTCAAGGTGAGGATACTTAAAACATTCCATGCTCCTCAGCTGAGATAGTTCTTAGTACATATTGCTATGGAAACCTGCTTTGTTAGTATAATTTGCTCAGTAAGAGCAGTAACAACAGATTACTATTCCAAATTCAATTTCAAACTGAATTTTGTTTTCCAAATTGTATAAAAGAAGCAGTAGCATATACGTACAGTCTGCATAAACTGGTAAACATTTAAGGCATATAAGCGAAACAATTACTGTTGTTAGCAATCCTAATGCATTTTCCAGCGCAAATCATTTAGTGTTTTAGTAGACTGACACAATTTAATTTTAAATACTATACCCTAATAAAATCTGTGGAAGCATCTGTTCTTGTCAAAAAACTGCAACCATTTACCTGTACAAAAATAATTTTAGATGTATTATGGTTTACAGTGAAATGCAATTTTGGCATCATTACTTAGAAGTTCCATTGATTAAATAAAACAATGTGTCTTACTCCCAACTACATGTGCACAGATCTGCGGCCTGAATTTCTGTGTGTGATGTGTGCCTTCAAGTCATTTCTGACTCATGATAACATTAAGTCGAACCTATCATGGGGTTTTCTTGGCAGGACTTGTTCAGAGAAGGTTTGCCATTGCCTTCCGCTGAGGCTGAGAGCATGTGACTTGCCCAAGGTCACTAAGTGAGTTTTATTGCCAAGCGGGGAATTGAACCCTAGTCTCTAGAGTTGTAGTCCAGCACTCAAACCATTACGTCACACTGGCTCATCCCTCAATTCCTAAATTTGTTTAATTACCTTTAACGTTTTCTTTAATTTATGCTGACAAATGCTTCTGTCAGTCTGATCATCAAAAGTTGTTTGGGCAGTGAGATGTAACAGTAATCACGAATGTATTTAAGGAACTTCCATTTTCCATAGCATATTTCTGCATACATAAGTCTAAAGTAAAGGAGATTTTGAATAAAACATCTGTATGTTTAAAGGAGTTCATATCCGCAGATTAGGTTTACAGAATAATTTGTTATACAGGACCAATCAGGACAGAGATAATTATTTCCTGCTTATATGAAACTGAGAAGTAACCATGGTGGGTGGTTTGAGAGCAGGCAGGTCCACACATCTGTGAAGGCACAGGGGGCCTGGATGGCGGACTCCAGTCTAGAGCCTAGTGGGCCTGGGTGGGCACAGGTGTGATGGAGGGGATAGGCATGGGAAGGGTGGGCTCAGGCAACATAATGGAGGGACTTGGGCAGCTGGAAGATGACTAGAGGGAGGTTGAGCGACAGGGAGCCAGCACAGGGGGGGAGGCAATATGGTGTTTGCCGGGGGGCTATGGCCCCCACTGAACTACTGGGGCACATGGCACTGGTTCCCTGTGATTATGAGTGAGACCCTCCCCGCCCCAACTGGACACTGAAAGATGTGCATGTGTGCGTGTGGGGGCGCCCAGTCTCAAACTGGATTATTTCTGCAGCGTGTTTTAGACTAATGTATTAAAGGAACAATTTTATACTTAGCATTTTCACTCTGCAACGCAAAGGAGATGAAAAGTATAAGCTATTTGCCATGCTACTGAAAATATATAACGGGTATTGGTTATGATCAAAGTCGTCTTAGAAATCTGTGTATATGCCAATTCTTCAGAAAATATTCAAGGCATAACATATAACTGATTTTTGTATCAGACCACAAACTCTTCATTCTTGTTTCTCTGTCTTCATCTACACTTTCTCTCCCTCCTGCCCTAGTCTTGTTCAGTGTTACAGTCATGATCCAGACTAGTATGAATGCATGCTGCATTTGTATGCAGGAGTTTTTAAGTTTGTCCTTTTGAGCAGCAAGCTCTCACATGCCCCTAAAGACCAACTCACAGCATTAAGACATGTCATGTCCCATGCAAGAAAATACAAAGAACTGCCACTGGGAGAGGCATTTCTGATTCATAAGCAGAAGCACTGGAGAGCAGCCTAAGTGTTCCTGATACCATTGAATATGTAGGTCTCAATACAATAGTTCCTAAACTTCAGTTTGGATACCAGAGATTCCACGTTTCTCTCTCAATTCTTAAACTAAGCTTAGTCATTATATGTAATGTGGACCATCATTTTAATTTTCAATACACATCTGTATACTTTTATAGATGCAGACCAGTGTTTATATAGTTTAAAGTAAATGCATTTGAAGCAGCTTCTTTTATATTACCTTAGCATACTCAAGGTTGAGTGTGCATGTATACTCAAGGCAAAAACAAGTCAATATATGAAGTACATTAACATCTACTGCTACAAGAGGTCAGCACTACAAATTGATTTAATGATCCAAAACGCACTGCAGAAATTATCCAGCTTGAGGCCATTTTAACTGCCCTAGCTGAGTGATAGGGAACCCTGAAACTGTAGTTACTGTGGCACCTGAACTCTCTGACAGAGAAGGCTAAATGTCTCACAAAACTACAGTTCCCAGAATTCCCTAGCATTGAGCCAGGGCAGTTAAAGCGGTCTCAAACTGGATTATTTCTGCAGTGTGTTTTAGACTAATGTAAGGTTACTGAAAAACATGTTTCAAATCCCTGAAGACTGTGGAAATTTATCACAGTTTTAAACAGTAACTGGTTCCTTTTAACTTTTGATATTAGAACAATCTAATAGTGTTAATACTCTTACTTGCAAGCAATAATTCCACCTCAGAAACCTACTAATCTGCCTCACTATTTCATCAGTAAGCATGAGCCCTGGTTTACAATTGTACCATTTTCAATAATTTTAGAACTTAAAAAGCTTTCTACTATCAATAGTGACTAAAACATTTACTGTAGCCAATATTAACAATACCACATTCTCTTTAAACTTTATTATTCAACTTATTATTAACTATTCAGCAATAACTACGGTTCTAGATTATCTTATGTGGTAAATAAATTTCATACATTTCACCTGTTGCCTTTCAATTAATATAATTACTTAAAATAAATTTCTGTTGATGCATTAACTCGAGGTCTGTGTTCCTCCTCCCTTACACTAAATAAACAAAAATTCCTTGAGACATGAAGATCTCTGTCTCAGTTTTCACAAGCAATTGATATTGAAAATAAAGCTGGTGTTTTTTTTCCTTTTGTTTATCTTGGAACATAGAACATTTCTTGATTTTTCTCTCTCACAACAATGGAACTTTGCTGCTAGTACAAACCACTGATTTGAGACAACTAGGAGGATACCTTTCACCATTACTCAGTGTTATTTTCCCATAGTATCATTGCATGACTTCTAGAAAGATAGTTTAGTGTAATTTGAAGGCCTACATTATTTAAAGACACATAATAGTTGATTATGCATTATGTATGTAAAGGCACTGCCATCAATTTAATGCCAATCCCATATTTGGATGTTGTAAAAAGACAGAGTGACATATCTACACAGAGTAGTAAGAAAGACAAATACAGCAGTAAAGCTTAATCCTCAAATAATATTGCAAAACAATAATATTGGAGGTAGCTATGGAAGAAATGAGTAAATGCACAACAGCGATCATTGTTATGATACAAAGCTTCATTAAATAAACAGAACCTGTCTCAACACATTTATAATCATGGTTTAATTGTCAAAACTGTCAGAGTTTTTAAATCATATTAAGCTTTTATTAGAACATATGACAACTGCATTCTAGTGGAATTAGGTATATAGAAGTCATCTTCCAAAGTCTGCACTTGCTAACCTGGGCTTCTCCCAGCAATGGTGCACTGGCACAGAATAACAGCAGAGATACTAGGCTATTGCCACAACAGAAACAAAACAAAATCTCTCTTGGCAATGGGGATCCTGTACTGGTATTCCCAGGTGATGCCTGCCACAGGTAGATGCAGCCTATGTTGATCACATTTGATATGCACAAATTTTAGTGGATCTCAGATGAAGAGCTTTAATTTAACCTTTAGATCAATATATTAATTGTAAATTATTTTTTAAATTATGCAAATTTTCCTCTTATTTTATTCACTTTATTTATTTAGGCTTGCACTTTGCAAGGTCATCATAAAAATAAGCAATATTAAACCCATTGAAAAATTCAAAAGTACATAAAACCCAATACATTTCCATATGCTGGCTTTAAATTATCAAGTTTTCTCTTACCTCTGAACTATAATCATCTGCAGTTGTGGAAATCTCACTTTCCAGCTAAAAAAGGATAAAAACAGAAGGACAAAAATAAAGATATACACTTCAAATAATTAAAGGACATTTTTAGATGATAACCAAAAGTATTTCATATTAAGCAAATAGAACAATTCCCACCACCCCCAAGCATTCCTTCCATTATACTCTACAGTAGTCCAGCAGAGGGAGGTAAAATACCACCATTAAATGGTATGTATAATTCATTAATTGAAAGACTGCTTAGAACTAATAGCTATTGTTAAAAAAATCCAACCAATATGCTTTACACTAAACATTTCAAATTTAAAGACCACCAATATTTTTTACTTGTTCATAAATAATTTTGAGTAAGGGATGTAGCTAATTATCAAGTGGAGAACAGTGTATATGAATGTGTGTGTGTGTGTGTGTGTGTGATCTTAACTTTACATGCTTAAAGTTGATGATTGATTTGTGGGTAAACTGCATTAGACTAGCAAGGGTTTTAAAAGCAAAATGATCTTTATTAGTTAAAAAAGGTGGCTGAAATGAAGCAAGCATGAGATAACCATTAATGAGTTTTTAGCATTGAAGGACTCTGAGATGAATTCAGCACCTGTTCCAGTATTAAAGACAAATTACTAAGCTTCAAATGCGCTCAAAAGTATCCTGTTCTTTCATCTTACATTGTATGCTTTTTGTATTTGGCTGTAGTTGGTGGATCTTGGGAGTTCTATTGAAAATCAAATTACCGT